GGTGGCGCCTGCTAGTGGAAATGATGGTGGAACTACTGGTAGTATAATATCCCTACTCCCATACAATTTTATTCTTTTAGATGTACTCTCTAGGGTAAAACGTTTCTTCTTTATGGGTTGAGGAAAATGTCACTATAGAAACAAACAAGGTAAGACGCAAAAAGGCAAAGAACAAAAAGGTATAAGCACCTCTATTGTGAATATACATGCAACATCTATRCTACGCCTCACTTGCTAGCATAGACCTCTCTTGCTAGCATCAACAATACCTACTTCCTTAAAAATGGCCATGCATGATTTTGAACCCATTCTGAGTGCACTAACAAGTTTCAAAACATCCCGATCTTGGAGCTAAAAGAGGCACTTGTTCAATGCATAGAACTAGACTATATGATGATCTTTAAGGCAAATGTAAAAATAACTAAAATTGTCCGACATTGATGCACAAGGTCTGAAATGAAGAGAATGGTAAAGACAAAAAGAGGAGAATAAAGTGTGATGCTGCTTGAGAACTAACAAATCTATGCATGCATTACTGAATTTGCTTAGCTTGACCAACGAAAATTCAAAATTCTTCTTCATTAGAATGTTATTGTGAAAGTACACTGAAGTGGCTCCTGGCCCCAGAAGCAGAGACATGTGAATTCTATCGACATTTTTCTGCAAATGACATGCAGTGCCAGCAACAGTATCCACATCTAAGTATGGCTTACAATTTATAAGCCATCGATTAGAAGTCAAATTTGTTAGCATTCACCAAGCAATTCTATTCTTTGACACATTAAAGTTCAATTCATATTTAGGCAATTTTCCTAACATGTCAAGAAAATAAGACGTTATGCATACTTCATTTAWATGAACTGAATGTATTCCTAATGTATCTATAAAATAAGGAGTTATCCTGAGTTTATTTAAATGAACTGAATGCAGGTACCACGTAATCATTATTGTTATTTAATTATAGTTACCTCTTGCATTATWTTCACATCAAAGATCATTTCAATTCCTAAGCACAAGTTTTGCTTTCACACTACTTATGAGCATATACTCACCAACACTATTACATATTTTTAAATGATGATGTACAGAAGCAATACAGTTGCCGGTTTGGGAAATACGCCAACTTCTGAATTCGGAATGGGAACAGATACACTATGCTAACAAGTGACCTTCCATAACCTAACCCAGATTTTGTCTCCACTGTCATGGCCCCATGCTCTAGTTCAAGGCTCCAGATTTGTTTATGTTTGTGTAAGCAATAACACCTAATCTTAATAACATCTATAAACGTCACAATTTTCATCCATTGTCATTTGTATGCTCATGGCATATGTTTCATGCGCCTTAGTTTTAGTTGTTTCATATTTTTTATGCTGAGCAATCAAATATCAGAATGTAAATGAATTTATATTCAAATGTACAATCACATTAACAACAAAATAATACCAACAATGGGAGGACAGGGCTAAGGAAAAGTAACTTCAATGGATTTACTAGTTGACAATATATTTAATGTTTACGTGAGTTAATTCATTATCAGCTTACCTATACGGCTATACGTGAATTTTTAGGTTATTACATAATCTAGTCACGTTTATTCTCATTAAAGGTAAACTCCACCCTTTGCCTTCTATTGTTCTTGGCGTTGTATCAAATATAAGAATCTAAATGAATTTATATTCAAATGTACAATCATATTAATCCAAAGTACAACACAATAATACCAACGACGGAGAGGACAAGGCTAAGGAAAATAACKTCAATGGATTTACTAGTTGGCAATATATTTAATGTTTATGTGAGTTAATTTATTATCAACTTACCTATACGGCTATACGTGAAATTTTTTAGATTATTACATATTTACGTACTGTTATGTTTATTCTCATCAAGGGTAAAGTCAACTTTTCATCTTCTATTGTTCTTGGCTTAGTATCATAATATTTCTATTAGTATAACTGACTAGTAGTACTCAATGCAGTATTATTGAATATTAAATAGGATGTTGAGGGTTTATCAACAATTTTCTCTAATCAAACTCCCCATTCTATACAACTGTAAATGATCTTCAAAAGATTATAAGCTTATGAAGGAATTTGATTAATTTACTAAATGGGCTACATTTAATGTATATAGTTCATTCGTGTAATAACAATTACCTATACGTGGGGAAAGATTAAATAGTTACTTTAATTCTCATTAAAAAACATCTCCCTTCTCCGTGTTCCTTTTTTGCCAAGTAGTATTAAGGCACATGTTGATTATAAATAAAATTATAATAATCAAGATGCCATCACCAAATAATTGAATAGGATTGAGTGTTTGTCAAAGGTTTTATCTAAACTAACTTCTGGTTGTGCACAATCAGCAAAGTGATCTTTGCAAGACCCTTAGGCTTAGGAAACCTAGTTATTCAATTGTCTTTCCCAAATATAGCATTCAATTTCTCGTAATGCATCAAGKCCCCTATAAACATGTGCATTTGATTTTAGCTTCTAAAAATTACAAARAGATTCCTATATAATTGGAAACTTGTTAAAAACTAGTTACAAAATTTACTTATCAGTTAGGACCAACTATAWACAAGTATTAACTCTGCAGATGACCTTGTTGCCTTATGACAACGTCTAAGCAAGCATCTTTTCAACTCATCTCATTTCTCCTTGGAATTCTCCATGATCACCTTAGATTAGCGCATTGAAAACTATGAASGCAGCAATACTATGCTGCCCAATACTTTTATGATGTGTTGACATGCTAGTGAGATAATTTGCTATGCACTTTATCCTCTAGGCATTGATATAATATTACACTACTACCTCAAGGCATGTAGGACCATAAAACTATAAAACCTGCAAGTTGCATGTCGTTTAGATAAAGTCTATAGGAATTGTCCAAGTGTTCATAACTTTCTGAAACTCAAATGTGCGAGTACACATCAAAATTTCATATGGCATCATATAAGAATCAAGTAAAAGAAGCATGCAACTACATAAATGTGGCATCCAAATGAGGAAAGATGAGATATGGTGAAAGAACATTCACCGGTTGCTGGCCAATCTCGGACACCTTGATGTCTGCCTGTTCATGAATTACATTTTTCTCTCTTGGTAAAACTGATTGATTCAACTCTTCCGAGTTGYTAAGCAATTGTCYTTGAGCTTTCAATTGCACATCAGCACCTTTGTCATTGGCCCTCTGACTTGCAAGTGCAGGGGAGAGACTTCCATCTTTCAATTTGGTACCATGTTTTTTGGATTGGAGAATTCCAGTTTTCTGCTTGTCAATGTTCTTCGCCATCRCTCTAGCCTCACCATTCAACATCCTTGTTGGACATGGATCCATTAGAGTYTTAGGATCAGAAGGTTTCTTAACAACAGTTCCAAGAGCTATTATTGGACTCTGGTATTTCACATCTTCACAGTTCGCAGTTGGTAGAGTTATACTACGAGATGGAGTGAAGGAGTCCTTGTCTACAGATGCCACTACCTTCCTACCTTCCTTCTTATTAACTTTCATATGTTTATTTGGAACATTTCCATCATTGCTTCCACTATAGCCTTTTGTTGAATCCTTCCTTCTCCTCTTTTTTGGTTGCTCGGTTGGCAACACAGTCGGCTCATTCCTATCAAGATAAACGGATTTAAGTCAGAAAAGAAACAGAAATATAAAGATCAAAGAGGATTGGCATACAATTCCTACTCAATTTATCAAAAGTAACCTCCTTACATGCTTTTGTAAATGCCTATTGTTCATGACAAAAACCGGGTGTTCAACAAACCCAAAGATTATAACAAACTTCAGTTGTTATACAATGATCCATGTAGTTTACCATTCATTATTTTCCCCTTCTGTTTTCTTTTAAAGACTATGAAAGATATTGTTCATATTTCTGCAGTATGTCTTGATTATACACATCTGAGTGACAAAAGTTTTTCCTACCTTTATAATCCACTATTGTATCTCCTCATGTGACCTGTTTGATGTACACTAGTCTTAGCTTTTCTTCATGTACCAGTGGTTGTCAATACTCGGCTTTGTGTTTCCTTGTCTAGTTTCCTCACTTTTGTCTCTAATGCATTTTTTTTGTTTATTGTACTCTTTGCATCTTGCGCACACACTCACATGTTGCCTATTTTTGTTGCATGTCAGAGTCATAACAGAAACAGTCTCTCAACTCCTTGGGTTAGATGCAAAGTCTGCAAACATTGAGGGGGATTTACTAGGCAAGATTTGGTTTGGTTTGCTTTGGTTTGGACATGCTCAAGACAAGTCACAAGTGCAATGCTCATACTGCTGTAATTAGACAATAAGATCAGACTATTACAAAGCAGAAAAAAAACACAGAGATGTACAAAATAATAGGAAATTTTTTAAAGAAGTTACAGCAGTAAAGAGAAAAACTGAACATGGATAAATTCAGGTGCCTATTAATTATTGGTATGCCTTTCAAGTTTCTTCTCCCACCTCCTTTGTTCCTCCTTCCCATTAGATAGCCTGTAATAGTCACTGTAGGACACAGATGTGGTGTCACAAATTTGCCATGCTAAATGTTACCAAGAAGTTGTGAACCACATCTAAAAAAGGATGCCAAGATGAAGCMACAGAATTCAGTGTATTGGCATGCATTCATGTGTATAGGTGTTCAGATGCCAAATGTAGACATTAAGTCATGTAGTASTCTTTGTCAAGTCATCAATAAAGACTGATATCCTCATATTAGCAATCTCAAACAGCCATACACTATAGTCAAATGATCGATTAAGTTGCTTTTTTACTGGTGATATGATCTGATTGATGGTAAGTACATTTATAACAAAACGTAAAGGCACYCAATACACATCCAAAGGCTTTTACAAATACATGACATCAACAAGATCTGCTCTTAGTAAGCAGAATAAGTCTCCAAGTTGACCCAATTTCGGTAGTTATGTCACATGTTATGCAATTAGAATATAATCAAGAATGATAATCTATAAACAAGAAAGAAGTAAGAGCTATAATTGAGGATGCAAAAAGCAAAAGAATCTGAAGAGAAACCGACGTGCGCTCTAACTTCCCACGATTGACAAAGAATCCATCATGCTTTATTGCTGAATTATCAACCTGGAAATACTCATCCTGAGGAGCAGAAAGAAGGCAAGGAAATCTTACTTTCTATGTCAAATGTGATTAGACAATACTGCAAGTACAAAATGAAAAGATAGCTCTACYAACCAGCTCTGTGTCATCAATGAATGAATCTTCTGTGTCATACTCATCATCGTCGGGCACATCATTGAGATCTTCCTCATCGCTGCTATTTTTACCCTGAATGTATAGAATGTAGCACCATCAAGACAATGACATAAGAAATTTCTAGATCATAGTTTCGGYGAGGTCAAATAAAATTTGGTTTTTGCAATTTACACTTATACAAAAGGAAACAGAGAGGAGCATTCAGAAGATCAGTCCTTATCATTGTCCAAATAATAAAATTCATAGCATMATGTCCACACCATGTATAAACGTTCAATCTTCTCAATAACAGCACTAAACCGGCTACCAGGGGGTGCATCATTGGCTTCATCTTCAGCATTATTTCCCTGCAAAAGTCAAAACAGTTACCAATGAGGTTGTAGGCAAGAAAGCCTKATTGCCCTGCTAACAATAAATGAAAACAATACGGAGAAAATGGAATTGTTCTTCATTATAGGGCATAGTCTATGTATCAGTAGAACAAGAAGGAAATTATATCCCCAAAAAATGCTTCTATTACAGAAATATTAACAGGAGCTAMTTCCCACCATCCCAAACATTTCATACAAGCATACCTAGAGCAAGTATTTATGCTGATATCCATATTCATAGGAGCCAAATTAATCATATTAGTAAGCATTCTCATGTCATTAAACCAATCTATTACAAGCTCTTTCAGCAACAATAAACAAGCCCCAAAAAAACAGGTTTGCACTTTACTTCCAAGAAAACCCTACTTTAAATTGACAAATTCTGGAACCGTTTATGTAACAATCAAATTCCACAATCATCAAATTTAAAATAAAAAACAACTCCTTCACTGATGATTGATGATTAAGCATAAAATAGCTTATGAGTGAGCTTTTATATTATAGATGACCTTATTTACAATAGAAACCCTACTTTATTTAGCCCAAATTGGAACGACAAGTAACAATTTAATCGYAAAATTATACAAAGTCACGTAAACATTACAGAAATGGGAGCAATGCGAGAATCGAGGGCAGGATTAGCAGCAACGGGAAGAGGAACAGGAGGAACAGATACAGGAGGCGCTTTGATATCGTTCTTATTATTGGCCGCCTTATTTGCGTCCTTGATAAGCTTCTTCCAAGACACAATTGTTGTCTCTCCAGGCCTGAGCTCCACCTCAAACCTCTGCCGCCCACCGCCACTTAATAATGTCGAAGACGATGATGACGCGGCACCAGCAACACCTCCGCCACTGCCTTCCTCCATCAATAATCCTGCAAGTGAATTATATCTTCACATAGAGTTGAGAYACATGCATTTAGAGTGTGTTCATGKGTGAAATTGGTTGACGTAAACCCTAGTAGAGAAAAAATTTGTGAATTCTGGTGGTTGGATTTGACGATTCGGCAAGGCGCTAAGAAATCTAATGTAAGTTTTATTTTGTGTCTGTTCTAAATCTAAAATTTTCAACTTATGGAAAACACAAAGAGATATGTACGGAAGGGGTTAAATTTGTCTCCATCCCCAATTCCTCATTCCATCATCATCTGCTCCTGTGGCCCACGTAGCCCAGCCCAAGCCCACGTTTCTATTAGACTACCTTTACTTTTATTTAACAACAAATCAACTCAATTTAATTTTTATTAAAAAAATGATTTATCCGATCTTTAACTCCAATCTGATTTAAATCTTTTTTATACTTTATTTATAATCCAACTCAATCTTAAAAATTATTTTATAAAAATTATATATTTAATATTTTACTATATATATATATATATATATATATATATTTTTTTAATTTTATAAATGATTATAAATATAAAAATTTGATGCAACAAATCTTGTTCATCGTCCATAGATTTCATACTTTACCCTTTTATTTCCTATTCAATTTTACCGTAGATCGATGGGTAGAGTGAAAGTATAATCCAGACTTAAAACCATCGTAAAATCGTTGATGATAACAAGAACAAATTACAGAAAAAATTATATATATATATATATATATGTCAGTATCAGGCTCTATTGGTAAATATTTTTTAATTTTTTTTTTTAATTTTTTTTTGTTAAAGTCATTTTTCTAATCAAATAAATTTTTATCCTACAAAAATAAACTTAACCAATCACCATTTGTCATGTGTCAATCTAATTGAGAAAATAAAMCCATGATCTTGGTTCACATGACGATAGAGATTGGAATGGATTGTCATAAATTAATTTTTTTTAATTTTCAATTTTTTTTCTTATTCCCAATCTAATTGGAAAAGATTGTCGCTGGAGGTAGTATTAGCACAAAAAAATTCAAAAATAAAAGGTTTATAAAATGTATTTTGTTCTGTTTTCTCTTTTCTATTTTTAAACTTATTATTAAAAAGTAATATAAATCAAAATCTCTAAAGAAATACATTCAACTCCAATAGTTA